CTTTCTTCCTTTCTTCCTTTCTTCCTTTCTTCCTTTCTTCCTTTCTTTCTTTCTTCCTTAGAGAATATTTTTCTTTCATTATTTTATATGTTTACATTTCAAATGTTATCCCCCTTCCCAGCTTTCCCTCCACAAGCCCCCTATCACCTCCTCCCTACCCCTGCCTCTATGAGGGTGTTCCCCCACCTGCCCACCCCTAGCATTCCCCTATCCTGGGGCATCAAGCCTCCACTGGACCAATAGGCTCCCTTCCCAGTGAAGCCAGATAAGGCAACTCTCTGCTACATATCTGGCTGGAGCCATGGGTACTCTTCGGTTGGTAGTTTAGTCCCTGGGAGCTTTGGGGGCATATGATTGGTTGATACTGTTGTTCTTCCTATGGGGTTGCAAACCCCTTCAGCTCCTACAGTCCTTGCCCTAACTTCTCCACTGAAGTCCTGGTACTCAGTGCAATTTTCAGCTGTGTCTGTCTGCAAAGCCTCTCAGGGGACAGCCATACCAGGCTCCTGTCAGTAAGCACTTCTTGGCATCAACAATAGTGTCTGGTTTTGGTGCCAGAAGATGGGATGGATCCCTAGGTGGGGCAGTCTCTGGATTGCCTTTCTTTCAGTCTCTGCTCCACTCTTTGTCCCAGCATTTCCTTTCTACAGAATGAATTCTGGATTAATGTATTGGAGGTGGGTGGGTGGCCTCATCCCTCAACAAGGGGCTGTGCCTATCAAGTGGATATGGTCTCTCCAGGTTCTACCTCCCTTCTGTTGGGTACCTTGGCTAATGTCCTTCCTGTTGGGTCCTGAGAACCTCTTAGATCCCCGGCATCTGGGACTTTCTAATGGCTACCCCCAGTTTCCTCTCCCCGACTGCTACACACCTACTTTGAAAATCATGACCCTTTGTACTTCTCCCTCATCTCCTCCCATATCTGAACTGACCCCCTTTTTACCCTCTTCTCTTCCTCCCATATCCCTCTCTCCCTCTACTTCCCAGAGAATATTCTCTTCCCCCAGTAGTACTATAGCATCCACACTTTGGTGTTTTCTTCTTTCTTCTTGGGTTTTATATGGTCTATGAGTTGCATCATGGTACCTTTACACTATGGAGTAGTACTACTCAGCTATTAGACACAACGATTTCATGAAATTAGCAGGCAAATGAATGCTTGAAAATATCGTCCTGAGTGATTTTACCCAGCCACAAAAGAACACGCATGGTATGTACTCACTGATAAGTGGATATTAGCCCAAAATAAGCTCAGAGAGGGGTTTTCTTAGCTGCTTGATGCTTTCATTTGTAAAGAGTAACTGCCCATCTGTTTTCATGTGCTCTCTTCCTTATAAACAAGGCAAGGTAAGGTTTAGGGAAAAAACGTTCTTGGCCAGCTATGCATTGGGTAAGGTTTCTGTTCTAGCTGTGATAGCTATGTATAGAAAGAAGTCTCAGATTTTACTTCCTGTAATGCAGCATCTGTCACAGTAGATGAGGATGGCAAATATCAACCACCATGCCTCATAGGAGAGAAACCTTAGCCTTCTACTGGAGCTGGGATAAAGTAGAGCCTTGTGTTATAAGAAGTCAATAGAAAAGGCTCAGTTGTTATGAATTATAAGTATGCTATGATACAGTACAATTTTTGGGAGTAAACGCTTGTCAGCTTCTTATAAGTTTTTACCAAAGTTACCATAGGATGTTTCAAGTGATATGGGACCTCTTCTCTAAAGATTAAGAATTTAAACTAATCTATTATATTTTATTTTCCCTTTCCAGGGAGGTGGCAGTAGGTGGAGATAGGAACAGGAGGGATCAGGAAGAGGAGAGAGGGACAAAGAGAGACAGTATAGGGAGAGATGACTGTTCCTGGGGTGCAATTGGTTGGGCAATGTGGAAACTTAGTGCAATGGAAACTTCCTCGAAACTATGAGGGTAACTCAAGCAAGGACACCTAGTAATGGACACAGAGACTGAACTGAGCATGTTTTGTAACCAGGCAACGATTCTAAGTGTTGTGACTAGGATACTAACCTAGCCACAAAACCTTTCACCTACAACCTGTCCTGCCTACAGAATATGCTGAGGCAATGGTAGCTCATAGCTTGGGGAACTGACCAACAAATGACTGGTCTAACTTGAGGACCACGCTACAAGAGGGAGTACATGCCTAGGACTACCTAGATGGCCAGAAACAGGAGGCTAGATGGCCCAGAGATCTAGAGTACAATAAAAAATGATTGAATGACTGGCATCAAACAAAACACACACACACTCACACACACACACACACACACTACAAAAAAGTAAATGAAATAATTCTTAATGACATTCTGCTATGTTCATAAATCAGTGCTTAGTTCAAACTCATCAGAGAGGCTTTCTCTAGCAGGTGATGGGAGCAGATACAGAGACCCACAGCCAAACGTAGGTGGAGTTTGGGGAAACCTACAGAAGAAAGGAGGAAAGACAGTAGGAGGCAGAGGAATCAAAGACACTAGGAGAAAGCATCCCACAGACTCAACTGAGCGCAGCTCATATGGACTCTCAGAGTCTGAAGTAACAATCAGGAAGTCTGCATGGGTCTGACCTAAGCCCTCTGCACATATGTTGTTTTGTTTAGCTTGGCATTCTTGTGAAACTGCTGTCTCTGACTCCTTTGCCTACCCTTAGGACCCTTTTCATCCTACTGGGTTGCCTCATACAGACTTGATATGAAGGCTTTGAGCTTGTCTAATAGCATCTTGTTATGCCATGTTAGGTTGATATCCCTATAAGGCCTGGTATTTTTCTGAAGGGAAACAGAGGAGCTGCGAGTCTGGGGGAGAAGGAAAGTAGGGATGGTGGAATGAAAGGAGTGGAGGGAAAGGATGCTGTACTCAGGGTATATTATCTTTAATGAATCAAATGTATGTAATCCTCATGTTAGCAATTTTCAGCCAGAACATATGCTTTATGTTGCCCAGTTGCAATGTGCCATGGGTCTGAACCACCAGCCCTCTTTGGCATCAGATTCATTCACCTCCCAGTCTCTGCATCCCCCAGAGACCCCTGAAGTACATCCCCACTCAAGGCTCACCACCAACCCTGAGTACTGCCTGATGTTCTTTACAGAGAAGTTCTTCTTTACACTTCCTGTCACTCTTAATAGGGATGCTAAGAGAGAAGTTAATGGTCAATTACACTTTAAATGGCATCTCTTCCAGTTGATGATCTTGATCTTTGTATAAATATTTTTGTGTAAAAAACAACTAAAAAATTAATATTAGGTTTTGGTGTACTCTATCACTGATGGCAATTATCATAAGTGATGATTTTCATGCACACAACTCACTGTTAGCAGGTTTTCTCCTTTAAGAGATGATCAGCAGCAATGGAAGTCACAATTATGGTTACCCTCTTCTCCATTAAATGATATCAACAACTGTTAATATGAAGCACATACATGAATTCCCGAAGAACATTGTTCTGATATAAGTTACTGGGTAGGTCTTAAGTAGAGAATTCTAACATGCTCTGAGGTGCTATTTCACTTTAAATAACTTTGCATAAAAATTAATCTAAATGCAATTTGGTTCTTTATTGAAATTTGTAGTCTATTTTCCCATACATATTTTTAAACCTGCCTACTTCGCCCAGGTAGCTACAGTATTTAACATTTGGGTGTAGCTTTAAAATCTTGTTACTAACTTCAGATATGTGTTTCTTTATGATCATTGACATGTCTGTCCTGTCTTGCATCCGACCTCACAAAAACCACAAGATTGACAAATGTTAAGAAAGGCAAGACCACAAGAAAGCTTAGCAGTGTGTGAACTCCATGACCCAGGTTGGAAAGAGAGAATTGACTCGTGAAAGTTGTGCTTGAAACTCCAGATCATTAACATACATGAGTGTGTATGCACACATACTAATATTTTTAAATTAAAGGCTACCTATAAAATAACACAGGGTTCTTACCATGATGTGTATGAGTTCTGAACTTTTCAAGTATAGTCCCTGGTCATGTCATAATTTTCAGCCTTATAGCTTTTTTCTTTTGTGAAATGTGATACTTACAGAACTTGGAATGTATTCAAAGCTTCCTTCATACTTATTCATGGTGAGTACTTTCACCCAGAATTCAGTGTAAAAGAACCATCCACAAAACCATTAAATCTCATTTTTCAAGATTTGGCAATATCTCTGTAGGTTAGTTCAAGTTGGAATATCATATTATCTTTTTAATACAACATTGAATAAAATCTGACCCATCTCTTAATGTATCTATATATAGATGTATGAGAAAACAAAGCAATTACTAGAATGTAGTAAATTTACTATCTGCTAAGGGTTTGTGCACCATAAAGTGTACCTAAATGCAATAATGAACGTGGCCATAATATCACCCATGTGTAATACTTGAAAGGCTGATTCAGGACTATCACACACTAAGCCAACTTGAGATGCAGATCTAGCACTTTAGTCAAAAATCTAACAATATTAAAACAAACACTGATTTGCAAGAAGATGTATTTGAAATTTGAAGATAAATTGAGTTTAATATGACTTATGCAGGCTGGCTTTATGCCAGAAAAGGGGTATTTTAACAAAGCGTCTCTTCATAAGCATACACTTCTTTGTTCAGATCCACATGGAGGCTCTGAAATCCAAAAAGAACTCTGTCACTAACAAATAATTAAAATAATACAACTTCACTAGTATTAACAATTCAGAAATTTAACGAGCAAAGCAGTGAAACATTCCATGGACATACCATATTCTATCTTTACAAAACACAGTATTAAGATATTTTTCTCCAATGTTCCCTTAGAGGCTACGTCATGGCTAGTTTTAAGTGTCAACTTGATACAATTCTAAGTCATCCAGGAAGAGTATCTCAATGAGGGAATTTCCAGGTCATGTTGACCAGTGGTTACATATGTGAGGAATAATCTTAATTTCATTAACTGAGATTGGAAGATCCAACCCATTATGAGTAGGACAACTCCCTTGACTTGTACCCTGGACTAGGTAAGAATGGAGAAAGAAAGCTGAATGGTAAAGTACACATACATTTATTTCTCTCTAATTTTCACTATAAATGTATATAACCAGCTATTCTAGGTCCCTGGCACCTACATCACTTTCTTCCCTCCCAATCTGTTTTTCTCCTAGAGTTCGTGCAATTTTCTAACCTAAAGATCTGCAGTATTACATGTTCTAAAGTATTTTTCTCCCATTTTGACAGAATTAACAGCCACTTTCCAAAACGTGGGTTTTCAGTATCAAATTTGACTATTTTCTGAGGCTATTACAATAAAGTACATAGAATCAATTGTACCTCATAGTGAGCAGGCAAAAGTATAAAATTCAGGCCTATGAGTTCTGAATGTATTACTTTGTATGTCTACTATTTTGCATAACCTTAAACAACTTACCAATGTGGGTTCAGGTTCTTCCTTCTCCATAACAAGGCAAAGAAGTAATAAAAGCAATATAAAGAAAAGACAAACTGGTACTATGAAAATAATCTTTGAGTCTGACCCTGTATAACCTAGGATTAAAAAATATATAACAATAAAAAGAGAAATGTTAAAGGTTTATGAAGACTCTTGAAATATTTAATACATAAGTAAACTGTCAATAATGCAGTAATGGAATTAAAAACCCGTAACATGTCAGACAACTGATTAAACAAACAAATGCCATATATCCTTTAATTCTAAAGAATAATATATTATCTTAATAATGATATGTGTATCATAATAAAGATACACACAATGCTAATGAAGCTGACCTTACAAGATCACCATCCAAAATTTGTCTCAGACTTTAGAAGCTGAACTAAATGACAAGACATGATGATGATGTTTGATATTTTAGGTGTAACTTCTCTTTTCTTCTTTTTTGTTGTATTTTTTTCTTACTTTAGTAGTGGTAGTGATTAAACACCAGGCTTTGAGCATGTTAAAAGATCACTAGACCAAGGCATGAAGTGTTAATGTTACTTCTCCACAGAATGAACAGTCAGTAGAGATACTTAAACTATAGAAAGCTTTTCCAAGTCTAGTATCTCAGGCTTGTTTTGGAACAACACACAGTATGTTAAATTTTGGAGCCAGACCTATATATCTACCTCCATTTCAATTTGTTCTTTGTCTTATTCCCTTGGGATCTTAGTTTCTTCTAGAAAAAATTGGGCCAAATTCAAATACATATCATAGTAAAGATTTACAGAGGTAATTTCTGGAGAAGTAACAGACAATATAAGTCTCTTGACATGCAGAATTAACAATAGCAAGGCAGACAGTTTCCTGAGGCTCTGTTTGTGTTCTCTAGTCTAGATGATTCCTAAGAAGTTATTACCAAAACATTATTGTTCTACTTATTTCCCCCATCACGTCCAGTTTGTGTTCCCAATTGCTCATAGGAATGGGTCCTGACCTGGAGTGTGGTCAAATGATCAGGGGTCATGATATTAAAGAAAGCTTACTCTCTTTTTACCAGCAGGTATCAAATGCCAACTCAAAATCGGAGGAGTAGGAAGGTGAGGGTGGCAGGGTGGATATAGGAGGCTATAGGGGCTTCATATGATCAAAATATATTAAATAAAATTCTCAAAAAAAGACAAAATAGTTTTAAAACTTTAATCATCCTAAAGAAGACCCTTTTGAGTACCTGAGTGTGGTCGGTGAACTGAGCTCAGATTTTCACTCAGATTCACAAGAACTGTAGAAAAATAAGTATGTGTTGTTTAAACTGAGTATGTGTGTGTGTAATTGTCCTATTTTTCTATAACTTGAAGTATCCAAAAAGAAATATAACCTCAACATCTAAAACTAAAAGCAATACCAAAAATTCTTTGTTCCTAACTTATAGGTCTAAATAAAACTCTACCAGGAGATACTTAACAGGGATAAATAAATCTCGGTCCCCACATTAAATAATGAGATTATATGTAATGCAAAGAGAAGTATGTTTTGATACTCTGGTAAAGAAAATCACCATATCCATTTTATACAATCTTTATGACTAATGAAAAAATATACCTCAACATATAAAGACACACACAAATGCACACACATTTTCCAGATTTTCAAAAGTGGCTTCAAAAATAAAAAAATGTAGAATCAGTAAAAGTATTATTTCTTTTATACATACATCTCATGCTTGAACTCTTGCTTACTAGTACTTTTTTTGTCCATATTCTCTACAGGTTGTATAATATAGTTTGCTTGGTTATTATTAATTTTTCCCAACTTGGTAATAACAAAGACTTGACAAGAGTAATAAATATATCCAAACTCTGGAATCTGATACATAGTAGATATTTTTAAATTATTTAATAAACAAGATCAAACAATGTTCTTGCTGTATGTAGAGAGAGGTAGAGACAGCCATTCCACTATAACATGTGAAAGTACACAGTGTTTTTACACTTAATTCCATATATATATAGTGCTGAAGGGATTTTTCTCCAATTTGGATAATTATCAGTAATTTAAAATAATATTCTGAATTAAATCATACTATGTGTCACCTTCAAGGCTTTTATGTTTGGATCACTATGAAATTTGAAAAGAGTTGTATCATAAATCAATTTCCATTAGTACAGAGAGTCATAGTTTTAACTAAATATAAAATCTGTCATGCTTAGTTTTCACTATCAGCTCGACATGCTGTAGAATCATCTGGGAGGTGCGTCTGGATGAGAGGTTGTCTAGAGCAGGTTGGCCTGTGGGCAGGCCTGTGAGGCGCTCTGTTATTTGGGTTAACTGAGATGAGAATACCCATCCTGAATATGGCAGCATTTAGGCCCTGGACTAAATGAAAAGGAGAGAGGAGCCTGAGCAGTGGCAATGTGAATGCACCCATTGCTTTCTGCTCTTTAGTGTGGATATGAGGAGCAGTTTGGAATATCTGCCAACGTAGCTTCTTTACTCTGATAGACTGTAACCTGGAATCCTAAACTAAATAAGCCCTTTCTCACCCAAGTTACTTTTGGATAGAATATTTGATCACAGCAACAGACCTGAAACCAGGACATGTCAATTTGAAAAATGACCAGTAAGTATTGTTACACATTTGGAGCCAGTTGTATCCCTTTCTTTAAAATTTTTGTTCTAGTGAAAATTGAAAGCACAAAAAATATTGATTAAAATGGACCCTGGACTTTGCCCTAAGAACTACGAAATGTTTATAAAAGACAAACAAAAAATATGTCCATTAAAACAGAACAAGATACCTAGTTCCAAATGAATGTTAGATTTTCAGTAAGCCTATCTTTGATTGGAGTACTTGCTTTTGCACCATTTACAGATGATGCACGAGATTATTTGATCTCCAGTTTACAAACACAATGAGAGGAAATACAAAGAGCCCCAGTTACTTCGTTCTTATCCTTTTAGTGCATACCTGCCCAGCATTCCTCTTCACTCCATTCGCTCCAAATCCCATCATCTGCACAATATATATTGATTTTACATCTTACAAAAAAGCATAGGTTTTCACTTTCATTGGCTCTCCTCTTCAACTTCATATCGTTTATATCTGTGGCAGACTGAAAGCCAAGGAAAACTATGGTGTGTTTATTTGAACTCAGTACAATTGCAGGGATTTCATCTCTCTGCTTCAAAAATGTTTTTGGACGTTAAACAGCATCATTGAGTTACTTGCAGGGTCCAATCCTAGCAGTGCTCACTACTCTACACTGATTTTTAAAGGCCTTTTCTTCCACTACTTATCCGTATTTAATTTTATCTTTTGTCCTCTTATAATAATAGGTCATTCGTAATAAGAAACATCATGTGCAATGAGTCACAACTCCACATAGTTTACTCTCCACAATCTGCAGATTAGTGTCAGAGATTCCTGGTGCAATAAATGGGAAAAGGCTTCACAAATTACTGAATGCTGATTTTATGGAAACTGAAATATTCGTCTTCAAAGTGGACCCCTCCTCTTTTTGGTCTGATTAGCCTTTGAAGTCCCATGTAATAATGCTCAGGAAGTGACACAAAAACAACTACTTCATATATAAGACTACCACAAAATACAAAGATGTTCTCACAGGGATCACAAGGGGAAAAAACTAAAGAAATTACTTCAGGTTTACACTTTAAATTGCTGCAGAGTTCTTCTTGCATATGATGATTGCTTTTTATGTATTTAACTTATCTACGGAACCTTGAAAATACATAGTATAGACTTAAATGTACTAGGACTCAGGTTTTGAATCTACTTTTAACTATTTGACTGCCAATTCAATTAACCACCCTGGAACATGTATACTAAGTCAGTAACCATTTTCCCCACCTGTATATGAATTGAGTCATTGAAAACTAGTCCATCTACTTGTCTCTACCAATTTCTAAATTGGAAGCAACTAAATCAAAGCAAGATATACCAAGGTAGAGTTAAAGAGATCACTGTATCATTGATGTTTGGAGTCTCACAATGGTCACCTTCTTTATACTCCTTTCTTCTCTAAGAAATGTCTTATAAATCTCATGGTTGTAGTTAAAGACGTGGTGTGTGTGTGTGTGTGTGTGTGTGTGTGTGTGTGTGTGTGTGTGTGTTTGTGTGTGTGTGTGTGTGTGTGTGTTTTGTTTGAGTCTTACTGGAGGCCATGCAACCTATTTCAATTTCCTGGAGAAATTTTTATTTATTAAAACAAATTGAAAACAAGTAACTAGTTTATCTCCAGGGTATTTACAACTTTAAAATTGGCATGACTAGTTATACTTTGTAATTTGTTTTTTATTCTTTAATCCTTTTTTTACCTGCCACATTTCATCCCCTCCTGGTCTGCCTCCCCCCAAGACTGCTCCTCATCCCATATCTCCTCTCTCTTCCCCTCCCCCATCTCCACAAGGATGTCCCCACCAGGCCTCCCCACTCCCTGGGCCTCAAGTCTTTTGAGGGTTAGGTGCATCTTTTCTCACTGAGGCCAGACCAGGCAATCCTCTGCTGTATATGTGTCGGGGCCTCATAATTATACTTTTATCAATATACATATATTTCCTTTTACCACTAGATTTGGCCTTCTGGAAAGTAAACTGACATACTTATTGTAGTCTAACTCTCTTTTGAACAGCCACAGATTTTGATTATCCATTATCCTATTACATTTTTTAAAAATTTATATTTATGATTTTGGCAAATAAGTACAATATCCATACCTCCCAGGAAATATCATCTTCTCGGACCATAATTTCATAAGTGTAACACCTTGGTGGAATGGGGCCTCCAGGTGCGCTCCATTTCATTCTAATGTCAATGGAATTCTCCACACTGATATGAAGGAATTCTGGTGGCAATGGTTTAACTGAAAAGCAGAAGGAAACTACTTCAACATGAACATTGCTAAGTCAGCAGCATCCCTCATCTAAAGCCCGGGATACTCCACAAGTGAATCTTTCAGGGACAAACTACTTGAGTCAAGATTATTCTCATGATGTGACTAAAAACCAAAGTTGCTTGCCAATCAAAATGGACTTCTTGAGAAATTTTGTTATTTGAGAACCCCCCCCCTTGATCTCTCTCCCTCCCTTCCTCTTCCCCCCCTCTGTGTGTGGGTGGTGGTGGTAGTGATGGTGGTGGTGGTGGTGGTGGTGGTGGTGGTGGTGTGTATGTGTGTGTATGTGTTTGGAGACAGGGTTTTTCTGTGTATCCTTGGCTATCCTAGAACTTGCTTTGTAGATGGGGCTGGCCTTGAACTCAAGAGTTCCACCAGCCTCTGCCTTCCAAGCACTGGAATTACTGGCATGTGCCACCACCAGCCCACATGGGAAACTAATTTTTGTTCTTTTGTTTTTGATAAAGCCTACACTAATAATTTTTTCTTTCTTTTATTTTATTGGATATTTTCTTTATTTACATTTCAAATGTTATCCCCTTTCCAGGTCTTCCCTCCAGAACCCCCTATCCCATCTCCCCTCCCCCTGCCTCTATGAGGGTGCACCCCTGGGTAGCACTCCCACTCCCACCTTCCAGCCCTGGCATTCCCCTACACTGGGACATTGTACCCCTTAGGCCCAAGGGTCTCTCCTCCCACTTATGTCCAACAAAGCCATCCTCTGCCATATATGTGGCCAGAGTCATGGGTCCCTCCATATGTACTCTTTGGTTGGTGGTCCAGTCCCCAGGATATTTAAGACCAAGAGAAAAAATAAGAATGCCCAAATTATTGCAATCAATTTCCCATTTCTGCAACTTTAGAAACAACCAAACTACTTTTACTACAACTACTAGTGTGACACTTTCTAAGTAACACATATGTTATGGTCACTATACATCTGAAATTGCATCAGGTGTGCCTGTTTCTAGAATCTGTCTCACTTATAACTGTTAGAACTAAGAATACAAATTTCAGAAACAGTAAAAATGTTTAGGTTCTCAATCATTTATCATTTGAAGCCATGATTAATAGATTCTGTGGATTGCCTCATGCCTCTGGCTTTGTACTTCCATCGCTTTAATAAATCTCACTGTCTGCTCTTGCCCCTCCTGCTCACTTAGAAACAAACTAAAGAAGAACCGGCAAGTTTTAGGTTGACATCATTTGCTCATATCACCTATATTTTGAAGTTGCAAAACCACATAGCTGGATCTGATAGGTTCCAACTTTGAGGATCCGTTAACACGGATAAAGAAATCTTTATAGTCTGATGAGTCCAAGTTGGAAAGTTTGCATCCAATGTTTTTCTCATTATCCTGGAGGTAATCAGCACACTGTAAGGCATGATCCAAGCCCTCATACCTATAACACAAAAAGCAGTTTAGGAATTATTTAGTAGCATCTTTTTGTATCTTGGTGTTCAGTTTTAAATCATCTTATTATATTATATGAAATGATTACATGAGCACAGTATATTGATTCAATATATCATACATATACATATAAAACACACACACACACATATATATATATAGATACATATGTAATAATAATTATTTTTAAAAGATATCATGAATTTGAGAGGAATTGTGATGTTATAAGATCAGTAGGAGGGAGGAGAGAAAGAGGTAGAAATTATGCAAATATGCTACACATGTACATTATTCTCAAATAACAGAAAAAGTTAAGTTATAAAATGGATAACATTGCTGAGCAGTGGTGGCACATGCCTTTAATCCCAGCACTTGAGAGGCAGAGGCAGGCGGATTTCTGAGCTCGAGGCCAGCCTGGTCTACAGAGTGAGTTCCAGGACAGCTCAGGCTATAAAGAGAAACCCTGTCTCAAAAAACAAACAAACAAACAAACAAAATGGATAACATTGCTGGGCAGTGGTGGCACACCCCTTTGATCCCAGCACTTGGGAGGCAGAGGCAGGTGGATTCCTGAGCTCGAGGCCAGCCTGATCTACAAAATGAGTTCCAGGACAGCCAGGGCTATACAGAGAAACCCTGTCTCGAAAAACAAAAAGTAAATAAATAAATAAAATAAAATAAATAGATAGCACAAAAAAAGAATCATTTAACAGCATACTATTGCTTTAGAACACCTACTATATGCTACATGCAATAATAAGATCTATAGATTCAACAGCAGGGAAAAACAGAAAGAGGTGATTTCATGAAGCTTCAGTTAAATGTTAATCTTCATAAAATCTCAAAGCAACTCAAGCACTATTCATCTATTTAGTCTTTGTAGACTCTTTAAAGTTTGCAAATTAAATATTTAGAATACGTAGGTAGCCTTGGCAACATGTGACTAAGAAAATTATTTGAGTAGAAAGAGGTTGTAAGAGCAGATATATAATTTTCCTACGTTTACTAAAATTAAAAGAAATCCTCTGATGTTCTAACACTATGATACAAGCCCGAAATCCCACAACTAGGGGAAGAAGTGAAATGAACGAAGAAGCAAAGTATAGTGTAGTTTTTAATCACACAAAGTGTAGTTTTCCCTTTGTCTTAAGCAAGAGATTTTACCATGGCATTTAAAGTTAACTTTCTATCAGTAATATGGCTGATGGAGATGAAAGGCCTTGTTAACAACTGATTTTTAAATCAATAATTCCTGACTTGTTTTCCTAAAAAATAAATATTAGTTTGCAATGTAAATATGATTTTGGTTTTCAAAGTAGCCCTTCTGAAATGAGACCAGCATAGCAGCTGACAAGGAACTAGTGAAAATACCTAAACTCTAGTAAATGCACTTTATACCAAGTACCCTAATTTAGAGAAGTGTTTATAAATTTTATTCTTATGGTTCAGTTGCCTGCTTACAGTGTGGGAGACTTCATATACATGATTGACTTTGTTTATTCATTATTCTTTGACCTAGGATTTCACTATACAGTATCCTGGAAGTTACTATGTAGTCCAGTGGTCTGGTGTCAAACTCATGATTGTTATACATTAGTCTCCCAAATTCTCCGATGACAGGTATACATCAATATGTCCAACTGGTGCTTAGGTTTACAAAAACTGACTGTGTGACTTTGTGTCAGTGAAAAAGGACATACACTCTGTAAAATGTTAACCTTTATTTCCCCCCTTTTTACTAAGGGAGGATAAGTTATGTTAAACTTGAATGACAATGTGAAGAGTGTCTTCCTCTCTTTTTTGTTTTTTTTTTAAACGAGAGCAGTGTGTCTCGTTTAATACATGTTTAATATTTATTGATTTAATGACCAAAAATTTAGAAATGTGTCCATTCAATTTAAGATATGGAAAGTGAACCATTCCCCCACGAGGAAATTGTTTGCTCAAGGCTACCCAGCTATATGGTGGCAGAACAGGGTTTAGAGCACAGGTCTCGAAAGCACTAATACTTTTGCCCAATCATTTATATATTATGTTTTTCTTTAAAAGATGCAATCAGAGTGTAGACTTAATGCTCACAAATACTACAAGCATGGCTTCTCTTGCTTTGTCTTTCTTTGGTAAATGTACAATCCCCTCTTTTTTACATTTATCCATGTTACCATCCATGGTTTCATTCATTTAGTTAATATTTAGTATTAATCTATTGTGAGCGTGGCCTTCTGTGATTAGTTAAGTGAAATGTAAGAATTGGTTCAAATCCACTAATCTTTAAAAATAAAACTTGAGGAGAGAATGTATACATACATGAGATAAGTTTGAGTATCACCCAAACAATAAACAAAGTGCTATTAAAAGCAATAGTTCAGTAGCAAAGATGAACAGAACCTGGAATGGTCAGCAGAGTCAATGAGTTTAGACATCACATGGGCCTAGAAGGATGAAAAAGAATTAGTAACAGAGTGAGCCAGAGGTCATTCCAGATTGCAAAATGCGAAAAAGTCAAGACATGGATAATGAAAAGAAATGTACAGAATAGCATACTGATCCTGGCCATAGCAAATGATAGTTTTTTGAAAGGTCGTGATGCAGTGAGGTAAAAAACTTGAAAGGCAACCTAGATTTGATCCTGGGCATAATATGAAGCGACTGGGAGTATATGGTCAGGAGATGGCATATAAAAATGAGAAGGAAAACATAGGTGGTTCCAAGGTGCAGAAATGAGCAGGAAGGAAAAATGCTACAATCGGAGCAGCCACCATTTGGGAGGTCATGGCAGTTGTCCAAGTGAGGAATGAGGGGAGTCTAAAGGAAAGTTCTTACAGTAGAGACGGGAAATGAAAAACAGATGTGCAACTTAGCAAAAGAATGTCAGAACAGAACGTGGTGGGTGATTGTATTACCATAAAGCAATTAAGGCGCTGGCTGCTTATGTGGGGTGGGGGGTGGCTATGTTTTCACTGGTCAGTCACCCTTGTGCCACATGCATGCTCACACAAGCCCTAGTCAAACTCAGCTGACTACAACATGAAAATTAAAACAAAACAAAAAGACAAGATAGTCGGAGAGGGCTTGTTGAGACAGAGGGAAGAAAAGAAAGGAGGGGAGGGGTGAATGTGCCTAGACTGTATTAAATATGCATATAAAATAAAATCTTCAAAAGGTTCTGTGTTTTTAAAGCTTCAGTAACAGTTAAGAAACAGCAAGAAGATCCAGTTTAACAGATTACTGCTTTTTAAAAAGCTAAGTGTATAAAAAATACTCAAAGTTTTAAAACAATAAACCCAGCTATCTATAGGATGTAATATTTCATCCTGTACAGAAATAGTCATGGGATGCCTTGCTGTATCTTCAACTTGAGATTCCCACATAATTAAGATTAATTATCATCATACATAGGGCTCTGGTAAAGAAAATGATTGTAATTCAGTAGAGTTGTGAGCACTCTGAACTAATCTTGACAGATGTTTGCCCCATGTGAGATTCCAAGTATAAAAGTACTTACCAGAAAAACATAGTATAGTTGGTATCAGAATGTACTGTCTTGCCAGGCTTCCAAGAGCAGACCAAATATTGCCAGTTATAATATATACACTTCATGTCCTGAATTTTAGTTCCCAGGCTTCCTATGAAATGAATGAACTCTGATTATCTGAGAGACATGATGATAGATGCTCTATGCAATCACTATGCAATTGTATTTCTTTTGGCTGTGCTACTTCATTTAGCAATCAGCTTAATGAGAAAGATTGCAAAAGGAAGCTACCAGAAATCACGTCCGTGAAACCTGAAAATGATTGAGGGCTTATTTACTGACACTAGTTTATGTCAAAGTATTAAATTAATTATTTAAAGATCCTCTCAAGAATTGAGCAAATTCCCATTCGTGTTTACTAATACAGCTCCATACTAAAGAGTCTACCAACAAGATGTAGACATACTGTTTTAAAGAACTTTGTTGATTTAATGAGTTAAAAAATGTCAACTCACTTATACTAAGAAAAATTCTATTTATGTTTAACTGTCACAGGATTTACTGTGCATAAAGTCATATATATGATCATAAAGGTTAAGGAACTTATTCTCTACATGGATTTTTTTTCTGATAATATCTAATGTGAAAAAAAAACGTTGTTTTAACCTTCATCTGATATCCAATAAGAAGCTTCTGTCCATGGACTTTGAACTTCTGATCCATTTGTACAAGGCTCTGACAAATGCGTACGTATCTTTCCTTCAATGCCTTTATTAAGATCAAACCCATCCTTGTAAATTAGATTCCTAGTAATTATGGTCTGTTTGATAAAAAGATGAAACAGTCCATTTTAGAAACACATGGAATGGTGATTCACATTAATAAGGCTGAACAATTATTAATATCTAAGATGATTATTTGGTATAGTACCCCAGATATATTTCTGTCAATGATAACCTCTGTATATGGTATTATTCAATTAGGTCATTCAAAACAAAACAGAGGACATTTAGTAAAGGAAAAGGCTCTATGATAGGAACATGAGCTCTTGGAGTTAAATAGATTATTTTCACAAACAATATGGGTATTGCATGGCCAAAGCTTTGTCATTTCAGATATACTATAAAACCTTTGGGAATACCATAAAATAAAAGTCTTAGAGACACCTGGAGAAAATTGGACAATTTCTAAGTATTTGAAAGTTAAAAAAAGTAATGTATGAGAGAGTCTTATATTCCTGAAACCCAACAGAGTATCTTGTCTAAAATGTTGTTCAATAAATATTAAACTTCAATTGCTCATTAATACTACTCAGCTGAATTTCAGAGCTAATGGTATATCTTTTGCAACAGAGCTCTGAATGAACACAATAGTTGACTTTATAAATGGCTAATAATTCAATAAACTTTCATTCAGATCTTGCCATCCATGTAAAGAACAATGCTGTGTTTTGTGATTTGTATGCAAAGATTTACGTTGACATCAATGATTTTCAAAGAATTTTACAAAATAAACGAGTAAAAGAAGAAACTATAAAATATGCATAAATGCATAAATGTTCTTCAAGTTCAGGTTCTCTTGTACTTCCAAGGGTAGTCTTAATATTGAATGAGGTGAAGATAGACCACAGAAGCTTCCATGGCAGGTTTTTCATATACTAACTAAAATTGTTCAGGCACACTAAATAGTAGACATTGAAATCAGGGGTTGCAAAGAAACACCTAATGATCAGACCACTCTGATGTTGCAAACCTTGCTTTACTTACCTTCCAACTGCCACTATCAACATTTCGGTATTTTAACTCATATTCTAGTGTGCATTTCTTGAATTTTTCCATAACCATGGGAGGTTTCCATTGCAAATAGAGATAACCCAGTAATCCAGGATCCAATATTTCAAAATCCTGAGGAGGATTAACTGAAATGACATCAGGAAAATATATTTTTCCTGTATTTTATGAGAAAGATTGTTGAATGTGAATAATTTCCAAATGCCCATCATCTGATTACTGGATAAAAATTCTAGCACATCTGTTCTGTGGGATAATATTTTACTAGAGAAATGAGTTAAACACTGATAAGAGGCTATAATTAGAAAAGCCTTGAAACAATATGCTATGTAAAGGGAAGCTGCCTCATAAAACCATGTGTCTAATGATTTCAGTTATACAGAATCCCATACATGAAGACAGTAGAGGCACAGGGTATCTCTGGCAGAGAATGAAAGTATTCTGGAATTTTATGGCAATAGTGGTTTCATAACTTTATGGATATGCTAAAATAATCCCAAAATGCTACATTACAAAAGGGAGATGTTTACTTGGGATGCAAAGGTCTACAAAGCAAGTACAGGACAGCCAATACTATTACACAAATAAACTTTGTCTCAAAAAAACAAAACCCAACCAACCAACCAAAACAAACAAACAAAAACCAGCTACTATCAACAAGAAAAACTCAGGGAGATGTTTCGGTTTTATTAATAAATTTGAAGTCCATAATATTTCTTTGTAACTGTTTTCTAAAGAAGGCACAGATGAAAACGTGATCTTTGTCTCTTTAGGAACTAAGCTGTACACTTGCAATGGAGACTTGTCAGTGCACATGTACACCAGAATTTGTATACTATTATATAAATGATAGTTATATAAATGTCTCTAGTCAAAAGAACCACTCAATACTAATTCAGTATTATGTTATGATCAGCATAAAAATTGAAAAGGAAAGTCGAGGAACATATTTACTATGCTTGAGCACCGTAAGAATTCGGAGTACAGGCATGTCTTGTGAGTAGTCCATGAAGATAATTAAATCTATAGCTCACTGAAGGTCAGAGCTATCTCCAGAGTTTGAAAAACCCAAGCCCTTCTTATAAACATTCTAAGTAACACATCTTGTAGCACTAATGTACTACCATCCTGTTAGCCTTTGACTAATTTTCTCTGATGAATGTTGTTCATTTCCATATTGCAACTTGCCTAGGGACTCCACAACTTAGCCTAGAAAGTCTCCTCAATGAAAATGGCACATCAACTTTGTCGTTTTCTTCCTTAAAGTTAGAAATCCAGGTCAAGCTAAGTGTTTGTCAGACACTGAAAACCTCATATAATTTGTATTGAAGTGCACAATACTTCAGTATGCACTGAAGTGTTTAGCTTCCATTTTCTGCTTTCTCCGATTGTCATAAAAGTCAGAATAATAAGAAGAGACTCAATTTGTGTTAGGAGAATATAATTTCAAATACTTAAGTTATTTCCTTAAAAATATCCTATATAAGAGGTCTGGTAATTATTTTATTGTGTAGCATTTAACCCAAAAATACATGATCTTTAGTTACCTTTCCTATCAATGTGAGTAGCTACCAAGAACATTTTTTTTTACATCATGGAAATATTACTGATATTATCTACTAGTTTTACACTTTCATGATATATACTGAAAACACTGTTCATGTCCTTTAAGACTACTTCATTAAAATCGATTTAATTTATTCATTTACCTTTTATCTCCAAAGAATGGCCAGTTATTGTACAAAGAAGAAAAAGACCCAAGCATCTGGTATCCACACCCATCAAAGCCATTTCTCCGGGACTTGGTGTGCTGAAAGTTCCACTCTAAGGAGAGAGAAGACAACAGTGGGGTTTTATTGTACTTCAGATAATCATGTGGATAAACATAACTAATATTTCTGGGAGCTCTCTGTGTACTTCCTAGCAAAACGGGAAAACTGTGCCCCTTGAACCGTGGAAATGGAAATTAACCTTGGAGTCAAGGCAATTGCAACAAGGGGATTCTGGTCCCTTAGGAATCAAGACTAACCCCACATAAAGAAAAGAGGAAGCATTTATTGAGACCTTGACAAGGATATAGTGACCTCCAGAAGCCTTCCTTCTGAAATCAAACCCAGCAGAACATCACTGAGAAAAATTTGGACACCCTGTACTCAGAGGAACCATTTGTCCTAAGTGCAAATGAAACCTACTGAAAAATAGTATTTGAAAATAATCTAACTTCTAAGAAAAGTCAATTTTTCCTTTTTAAACTATCTGAGTATTTATACATGTATAATAATAAATTTTAGTCATTTTCTCCCGCATTACCCTCTCTAGCCTCCTTCCCTTCTGCTGAAACAATACTTCTCAACAATTCCCCCTTCTGTATCTTGCTTATGACCCACTGAGTTTAATTAGTACTGTATAAATCAGCATAGTGGGGAGATGTTTTTTACTGGAGTATGGACAACTTATCAGTGTCTACATTACCAATGAAAATAAAACATTCTTCCCAACCACCATTAACTGTTGTGATTTGCTCAAGAAGAGCCCATCTCCCCATCTTTGCCAGTCTTTTGCAAATAGTCACATCTTCAAGGAGTCCAGTGGCTGTGTCATAGCCAGAAAACATTTTACTGTTCCTCTCCCCAGATTCCGACTCCTTCAGCCTTTCCACTATGTTTCCTGCACTTTGGAAAGAACCTGTACATATATGTATGTAACAAGAATTAGTGAAAAAATAGGCTGTGAACTGAAATAGAACAAGGAGAGATTATAGAAAAATTAGTACTGTAATAAAAAAGAAAGTGGGGAAGATGTGACTATCTTAATCTCAAAAATAAAAGAAAATTAAATTATATGTTAAAGGCAAATTACCACAGTTAATTTTACATATTTCTTTTTGAGTCTACCTTTCTGAGAGTTAAAACTTATGTGTGTACCATCTTTCTGCTATCCTTCACAATTTAACTGTAGTGTGTAGTTCTTCCCTTATAATTCCACCCTCTTCAACCAACTCCCCTAAAACATCCTAATATTGGCAAGCTTCAATTGCTACCTATTAGAATCTTAGGATCCAATTATTGCATCTAAGTAGGGGATTTAAAATCATTGGTCTCACTTACTTCTCTAGACTACTGAAATTGGACTCTAGCAATCAACTAGCATTTCCTTGATCAATCCAAAACCACTTAGGCATAAGAAATAGGATAGATGGAGATGACTCTTGAAGCCATCTATGGAAAAGTTCCCAAAAATGTTCCTGAGTTATACCAGGATGCAACCTGGACTTTCCCAAAAGAACACAAAGACATTCCTATAAATGGCTTACAAATTGGAGGACTATCATTAGAGCACAGAGTCAGGCATTAGTGCACTGGTTCCAGGAATTTTTCACAAGGGATATGAAAATCTGAATTAAAAGGGAATGAGAAAGAATGTGCACATGCACAATTTGAAATGTCTCTGACACACTGGACACATACCAAACAACTCATCTGGACAGAAATCCAATTAATCTTAATGAGGAACTAAGAGCTGAAGATGAAGGCTAGTTATCTAAATATGCACAACTTATTAGTGGCAGAGGAAGTACTAAAAACTAGGTCTTTGAACATCTTTTCAATAACTTGCCACTTCATTTTCTTGTCCTAAGAAGTCAATCTGCATTTATTGTATTAAATGTTTCCTCATACCCAATTTTCTGCAACCCACTGTCCCTACCCAAGCCAGCTACCTTACCATTTACTGCTATTATCTTATTTATAACAGAGAAAATAATCTATAAATATGCATTGAGTATAGGAGATTTTTGTCTGTTTGTATTGTTTTGCATGGTAATAGTCAAATAGCTATTTTATTTTGCATAAAAACCAAACAGCAAGTCATAATATCTGCAATAATGATATCTCCCACAATGCATTCTGAGCACCATTCACTTTATAAACATTATTTCACACTATATGTAAATTTCTCTTTGGCCATGTTTACTATTTTAATGACACTTTAGAAACCAATGGGTGAGACACAGAGAAGTAAAACAACATGCCTCAGGTCACACAGAATGTAAATACTGAGACAGGGATTTAAATCGAAATAATGTAGAGCCAGTGCCTTGGATAGCAAACAATAGTAGGTGTTTTCCATGCCTAAGAGCAATAAGAAAGGCAACTTCTTGTTTCTACCCACTTTTTTTTTCTTTATGTAACACTATTACTGACACAGTTTCCCATTGGCAGTCTCCTTTGGAATGGGATGAAAGTCTCATTTCTCTTCTCTACTTTTCCAAAATAATAAGAACAAAACTCCTTCTCTCTAAGGTTTGACTAAGGCTAAGGCTGTTCAGTGATAGACTGTCTCCCTGGTACGAGCAAAGCTCTTGGTTGCCTCCCCAGCAAAGAAACACACACACACACACACACAGAGTCACTCATGCATGCACTTGTGCACACACACAAAGAATTGGCTGGATAATCCTTGCATTATTGGAAAAGTTCCAGGTACTTACCAATAATATGGTTTCTCAAGAAATGAATTATCACAGGCAGTTATCACAAGACCTCTTTGTCCTCTCCTTTCCACAGTAGGCACTAAATTGTATCTCTGCTGTTTTCCTTCCTGCCAGATAATAAAGAACACTGAAAAACTTAAGATAGGTGTTCCTGAAATAGCCAGAGGGCCAGGACAAGGATTCTACAAATCAAAAACAAGGTTATGGGTGGTGCTAAATGGCTTCTCAGTTAAATTTCTAATTATGAAATGGAAGTTTAAAGGCTGACAATATTATTTGGGGAAAGTAATAAATTTATAGCTGAGATGTATAAATTTTACTAGTATAAATTTCCACCTATGTGTTACTGGTGCTTAAACTAATGGGCTTAGAAACAACTTATGTCTTCCATGTATGAAATAGAGGTAATAAAACCAACCTGGATGGGATTTCATTCTGATAAAAATCAGATTATGTATGTTCAAGGAATACGAAAATAATAATAAATTGTTCTATAGGCATGAAAGAGGCTTACTTACAGGGGTCTTGCCACTAGTCAAAACTTCAAAATAACTTTCTTCTATTTATCTATCTGCCTCTTACAAATGAACATTTTATATGCCAGTGTTGATAACTAGGCACTCATAATTAATCTCCAGTTTTGAGTATCTTTGCTGATCAATTATTCTGTCTTTATCAATATTTAATAATAATAATTTCTTGTACTTGTTGAGCTTCCAGTAGTTCATAAGTAGTTTATTGTATTACTTTAGCAATAGGTTTGTAGGATCAATGTTATAAAAAAGTAAAGAAGAAGTGTTGTGCATGTTTCAAGGCCCCAGAGATAACAAAAACCTATAGAAAAGGAATGGGGAAAGAAGGAAGAAACAAAACAATGTCCAAAGCCATTGGTTCTTGACCTTCTTCTAATGCTGTGACCCTTTAATTCAGTTCCCAATGCTGTGCTGACCCCCAACCATAAAATTATTTTCGTTGCTACTTCATAACTGTAATTTTGATACTGTTATGAATCCTAATGTAAATATCTGTGTTTTCCAATGGTCTTAGGCAACCTCTGTGAAATGGTCATTTGACCCCCAGACTGGGAACCATTGTTCTAAGTTAATAATATATAATGTTGCGCTTTTGTTGATAAAAGAATATATCCCTTTTCTATGTTAGCAAAAAATAAGTACCTTTTGTCTGAACTCTCTAAAATTACCATAGATGTTTTTCATTATATTTATTTACAAGAAAAGTGACTAAGTTGTTGAAACAATTATTTTTCATAAACTGACTAATGGAATTTAACATTGTCAATAAGTAGCTTGTTTAAGAAAAAGAATTAGAGTTATAAAATGTTATATGTTCTATTCACATTTTAAAGTATTTAAAAATATAAGCCAAAAACTGGTCTTGGGGAGAAGAAAATATAAGAAAAGAATGAGAGAGGGAGTAGAGAGGACTGTGATTCCTTGATTAATTGTGATTTGCCGATGAAATGAGAAACCAATTTGGTTTACTTGAGAAGATGTTGACCTCAGAAAATCAAAATAGGTACCATAGTTTATTTGGCCCTTACCAAGGTTCAATTTCTGTACCAGAAACTTTATATAGATTACGACACTTAAATCTCTCAAGTGTTGATAGACAATTTTATTACCTCAATATTACAAATGAGGCATTTGAAGTTTAGAAAAAGAACATTTTTGAAGATCATAGAGGCTAAATAAGCAAAGATATTGATCTAATTCTTAAGTTCATGCATGCTCCTTTTAAACATAAAACAGCCTTCCAACCAGTCTTAGAGGTGGTCAATTTGCTTCTCATACAAGTTATCCCTAGGCTATTGTTCCCAACTGCCATGAGTTGATCTGCAGTGTTTCTAGTCATGGTTTTAGGATGTGACTCAAGAGCATGAAATTGCTGTATAATTAATCTTTCAAGGACAACATCCAACAGTGTAAACTATTCATAGCTTCTGAAGTATGGTCATGACTCAGCATCAGAATCAGAGTGTCTAGAAGTTGCCAGGTTTTGAGACCTAATAACATGCTGAGATTGATTCATGCCACACTAATACTGCAATCACCCCCGAACTAATGATGAGACAAATATAGTTTTGATAATAACATGTAAATAACCTGCCTTACATAGATAAGCACATAAGGATTTGTGAATATGATTTCACATACATTAAAACAAAGAACTTTGAACTAGGCAAATATTTCACGGTTGCCACCAATCAAATAATATAAATAATTTTATACCAAACATAAGACATAAAGAATATATATATATATATATATATATATATATGCTGAATGATTAAGGTAATTACCTAATTTTATATAAATTAAATACAAGTAGGATGTCTATTTTAACATCATTTAAGCACTCAGTTAGATATGACATTATTATATTTACATCCCTGATAAGATTGCACACTGATAACAATGTTGTCTGATATTTACAGAATATGTTGAACAGAATGTTCAACAAATCTTATTAAATCATTTATTTCTCCTTTAGATGGCTTCTGATATGGTACCTTAAGTTCATCCAGCAAGTAAATATCCTAAAATCTTATCGAAGCTACAGAATTTGCCTTTGATATTCCATAGCAATATCAACATTGAAAGCATACATTTGCAATCACCTCACACATTGCAGAATCTGTACACCGCTTACACAATTCAAAATTTGTCATGAGTTTGGCCAAATCAGAACTTTATTATTAATCAGAAATCAACAAGACACTTAAAAGCAGTCCACTAAAAGTTATGGCTTTACATTTTCCATAAGGCATCAAATAGAAGATAATTATTAAAAACAGCACATCGTTATTTTTAAATATACCTTATACCTGAAGAGCAAAGCACTGTCTTGAGAGAGATCACTGTTCAGGGTGTAACAAGCAATCTTTTTCTCTTTCTCGCTCTATCTTTCCCTCCTCTCCTCCTTTTCCTCCTCCTCCTTCTCCTCCTCCTCCACACTCCTCAGATGCTTTCAAAGACTGGATTATAAATAGTGTGTCCTGTACCCAAAACATTCACATCGTGAAATAGCTTCAAAGGCAAAGAACAGGCTGTCGTCCAGCCCCTCAATACTCATTACAAACACAATGCAGAATGTGCATTGCAAAATATTCTGCCAGTTCATTCTTCCATCTCTAAAAGACACAGGCTAAAGGAACATGGAACTGCTATTTACTGTCTCAGGATATATTGTATCATATTATATCTCGTTATAGAAACAAATAACAGCAAATACAATTAAGTACTTGCATCACATATTTATAATACAGAAATTAATTTAGGAACCTATTTTCTGCCACATAGTGTTATAAGTACTGGATCCAACAGTGAGCAAAAAAAAAGTATTTACCTTCATTTCTTGTGTTGGAAGCAGATGGTGAACTCATCAAATAATTATAAATTGTGCAAAGAAATGCAAAGCAGGATACCAAGAATGAGAGTGATGGTGGCTTAGTTTTGATAGAATGATGTGAGAATGCCTTTCAGAGAAAGTGACACTAAGATTCTCATTGAGGGAATTAACAACGGTAAGATATAAGGAAAGAATTTTCCAGGGAGAAAAAACTTGCACAATCTTAAGCCCTATAGCAGTAACAAGCTTAGTAGTCCCAGGAATAGTGAGATAAAATAGGAAATACTCTTTTGGATGCTGTGTTTTGATTTGAGGTGTGTGTGTATGTGTGTGTGTGTGTGTGTGTGTGTGTGTGCGTGTGTATGTGATTTTGCTTTTAGAAATAAGGTTTCATGTAGCTGGAGCTGGGCTTAAACTTGATATATAGTGGAAGCTAACTTTGAACTCCTAATACTCCTGTTTCCACATCCCAAGTGATTGAATTAGAGCTGTTTGCCATCTTTCCACGTTTAGGAACAGAAATAGTTAGAAGATAATTTATCATGGCAGGGTTGTCACATAGTAAATGTATCATTTATATGTAGCAAAGTATGAAGCAGTTGGACAGCTGTGAGCATATTTATGTGTCAGTGAAGCATGCTTATATGCATGGTTATACATGTGTGGTTATGCACATATGTGTAGAGGCCAGAAGCTGACATCATTTACTGTGCTCAATCACTCTCTATTGTATTTTTGAGACAGGATCTCCCACTGGATCTGGATCTGGATCTTGCAATTTTGTCTAGCAAAACCTATGGATCCTCCGCTATCTGCTTTGCCAGTACTGGGATTACAGACCCATGCCCACATGGCAAATTCTTTACATGGGTGTTGGGCATTTGAATGCAGAACTTCATGCTTTTGCAGCAAGCATTACAGTGATTGAACCGCATCCCTTTGCCTCATAAAGTATATTTTAAAAAACTATCCTATGAAAGGGAAATGAGAGACACAATGACTCAGAGTAAAGCAATTAGTAATTGGGACAGGTTGAAAGCAAAGGCAATGCAGGATTAGTTCACTGGTGAACTGGGTGTGGAGTTTCACAGAAAAATGCCTCAATTTGGCATAGGCAACATATAATTATTTCTGTGGCCTGAGGCTGGTAATTAAGAATTCAGTTTGCAATAATTGCATTTAATGTGGCTAAATAATAGCCAAAGGTGAACAGTAGAAGTAGGTAGTGAGATGCTTGACTCTAGAGGGTAAAGAAAGACCATTGCTAGAAGTATAATTTTGAGAGCCATGAAAACACTGAAAGTACTCAGGCACAATGGAGGTTACTTATAAGATACTATAGATATGTAGAATAGATGGGTATTATGGAATAGAATCTTCACATAGAGGAAAGTTTAGTATATGAAGAGGAAGGGACAAAGTAGGCTAAGCAGAGGCCAACACATCAGAGTTGGTGGTGTCCCACTTTCTCCCAAGTGGAGAAAGTATTCCCAAGGCTAGGATAGTGACAGGCCATGTCAGAAACTCCTGCTAGGTAACATGAAGCATGAGAATAATCTATCAAACTTAGCAAAGAGAAGATGAGTGATGCTGAAAAGGGAACTCACACAGGAGAATGTCTGAATCACTACAAATTAATGGAAGTTCAAAAGACAATGGTGGGGCAAATTTTGAAGACAATAAGCATACATAAATAGTAAGAGTAGGAAACACAAACAAAAATTTTTCCCTACCTTTCACACAGTCAGCAACCTTACAAATTGCTTTATCTCTGGTTATTCAAATATGTAGACATTTCTTTCTACCAGTAACCAACCAATTCTGTAACAGACACCATCTGGAAATCCTCTAATTTATTTCAAAAAGCACAGCAGTTTGAAGGCTGACACAGCTTAGGTACAAATCAGGCCTCTGATCACCTCCTTCTTGAATTACACTCATTTTCTATAACTCATAGAACTCAGGAAGCATATCACTTAAATGCCTCTAGTTACTATAAATGATATTACAGAATACGCAGATGAGTAATTGAAGTGGGTTGAATAGTATGTGAGACAGGCCACAGAGCTTCTGTGTTGCCTACAGGCACCTTCACATGACCCTGAACCCAAATATTTGGGATTTATGGAGGGTTTGATGCAGAGGCATGATTGATTAAATCATTGGCCATTGATGATCAACTTAACCTTCAAATTCTCCTCCTTCCCCTGGACATGAGACAAGAGTGTCTGTATTTTGAGGAGATGAGGCTTACCTCCTAGGAGAGCCCAAGTGTTGTGCTCTGGGAAATTATATCTTGAAACAAAGAAGATTCTTTACATCGAAATAACCATGTAAGTCAAGCTTTTTCTCATGTGTGAAATCTAAAACAGAAAAAATATTTTACATGAAAGAGGAAAGATGATTATTGAGTAAATAGAATGAGCTAAGAGGGAGAGGAGGGAGAATAAGAGATGGTAAATATAGGGCGAGTTGCATCAAAGCATGTAATATGCACGTATGTAACATGATGAAACCCATGATTATATATAATTGATACAAATGAATAAAAATTTGAAGACAAATACATAATGCCATCGTATTACAGTCCCATTGAGTCATTAGTAATGAGCTCATTCCATCTTCATATTATGACCAAAGACCAAGAAAAGGTACCTCAAATATGCAGATTTTGAAAGTAAACAGTAACTTCTTTGAGAAGCTTGCTGTACATTTCAGGACTTGTATATGGGAGGAGATCTCTTATTTATAGTATTTCTAAAATGGACATAGAAAATCTCATGGGAAGGCTTACTCTCATCCTGCCATTCCTTAGAGTGTTGTCATGCATGCTTAGCAACAGGGTAGTGACATTTTAGAGATGCAGGTCAGAGTAATTTAAGATTATTTGTCAAAGAGAACCATGAGCATTCATCTGAGGAGATTGGAATCTTCCCAAGTTTGGACTGGATAAATGATGGCTCCATGTGTAAATTGCTTGCCATACAAGTATGAGGATCCCAATTCAAATCTTCAGTACCCATGTAAAAATTGGCATTGCAGTTCCCTAATTCAAGTGCTACTGCAAAAAGATACAGAAAATCTTGATAAATCTGGTAAGTGCAGGTGAGTCTGATTATCCATAGCATCTAACTTGTCTAAACAAGGTGTCAAGTCATTCCATCTTGCCATCCATACCCTAAATGAAAAGACTCAAGGCAATGCACTAACAATAGAGTGACTCAGGACAAGTATCTGCTTTACACACTCAGTAAAAGTGAGTTGGATGCTCCTGGGCTAGATAGCCTGGCATCTATATTGGCAAATGACAAAAGAGAGACGCTGATATATCAAACAATGAAGAAGGCAAACCATCAAAATCAAAGTTGTCCTCTGACCTCTACATGTGCACCATGGCAAATGTGCATTCACACTCACACACATGAATGCACACATGTCATACATATATTATGAAACCCATATACATACCTGCATGCACACATATAGACATATAGACACACACAGAGAAACTACCAATGTTTAGTGTGACCAATGATTACCAATTGTTTCTGATATGTTAAAATCATTTTATGAAGCTATTTTCCAACGTATTGTATTTCTAATTAGATAGTGTTATTTTTGAAAACCTGGGGCCAAGATCATGGCTCATTGAGTAAAGGTCGTTGCTGCCAGATCTGATGACTGGAGTTCAATTCCCCAGAATTCGTATAGAAGAACAAGTGAAGTGATTACCAAAAGTTTTCCTCTGACCCCTATAGAAGTATCATGGTACTTATGGTCATACACAAAACCTATACATACACAAAGTACCTATACATAGATAGATACATAGATGGTAGATGATAGATAGATAGATAGATAGATAGATAGATAGATAGATAGATAGATAGATAGATAGATGATAGATAGATAGACTGACTGAAGGGATGTCACAGCACATCAGGGCTGGAGGGTGGCTCGAGCACCTTGTTACAAGCTAACATCCTTCAGTAGATTCTAACACCAACTTAAATTCACACAGAAATGTGTTCACAGGGACACAGAAAGACAAATAAACAAAGGAATAAGTAAACAAACCTACCATTTCTCAAGAAAATTGAGCATCTTTATTCTCTGGAAGAAGTCTGAAATTTCATTTGTTTTCTGCTGTGTATGATTTCTGTAGAAAGTCATGAGAAACAATTTTAACTTTATTTTTACACAAATCCATTTTTTAAAAAAATGTTTCCGGATTTAAATATAATTAAAGGTCTGAACTAGTAAGGCACCAGAAAAAAATTGAATTAAAAATGAAAAACAAGAACAGAGAGTACCTGTTTCCTACTAGCCTGTTTTTTTTTCTTTTTTCTTTTCATTTTCTTTTGTTATTTTAAAAACTGTCAGGAATAAAGCAATGTAGCAGAAGACAGTCCCAAAGAGGTCTAGTAAGTGCTTTCCTCTAGGCAGGATTGTGTTTATTCTACTTTAGCCTGGAAGCCTGTTTGGAATGCAAAACATGGAGAGTAGTACCACTTCAGGTCCTCAGAGTTGGCTTCTTCCTCCTGCCCCTTGATCTCCAGGCTCACTCCTCTTGCTTTCTCCTTTCTAACCCTCTTTTCCCCCATTCTCTCTCTTTCCCTCAATTTTTACTGAGTTTATAAAGCAAACACTTGTCTTGAAAAGTCACTCTATTGTTAGTGCTTTGCCTTGAGTCTTTTCATTTAGGGTATGGATGGCAAGGTGGAATGACTAGACAGCTTGTTTAGACAAGTTAGATGTTATGGATAATCAGACTCACCTGTACTTATCAAATTTATCAAGATACGTAACAGAATGAGAAACAGTAGGAGGACATTCCCCAGATGTTGGACACACTAAATATATGGAGTGTACTAATTAAAACCAGAGATACACAGGTCCAGTTTTAAAAGAAAGCACTGTATAATGAAACATGGCACACTAACCCATCCCTTTGCCATGGGTCACTCAGTCAATGTACTTGGGACATACTCTCTCTAGAAGACTGCCAAGAGACAAATTCTCAACTATCTTCAAATTCAGCTCAGCATATTATAGCCTACTTTCATTCTATCTGGACGCTCATCTAATTTCAGTGGTAAATTCATTAATTCAGTTGCTGACTACCTGCATTGATCCTTTACAATGTCTCTTTAATTTGCTTTGTAACTTCTATAATTTCTTTAACCCCCTTTAAACTTTATGCTATGTATACTAACAATTAGCAACGGAATAAAAGTTTGCAATCTTTGTAGTCATGAATCCAAGTGAGACCAAGAGCATTTAGATGAGAAAAGCTGGTGAAATGAATGTGGTTTGTGAATCTACTGGCATTCAGTAAGTTCTCACACTGTGGAAAGACACTGACCTAACGATGCTATTGGTAGAATGTGCTCACAAATTTTACATTTCTTTTTTCCACCAGTAGAAGCCAATATATGCTTGGATAAGTTGTCATTGTTTTTCAAAAGTTATGGATGCTTTTGTTTTCTTTTTTAAAATTTTGGTCTGACAAGGTTTTACCATTTTTAAGCCAGGCAATAAGTCCTCAAACTTGTTAAGCAGCACGCAGCAGCCTCCAGCACCCTACATCACACTGGCTTCAGACTCATGATCCTGTAGCCTCTGGTGGCAGAAGACTAAGATTACAGAACTGACCCTCCATGCTCAGTACAATGTTTCTTTTCAATATAGTTTTTATTAATACCTTGGCTTCAGAAGAAACATTTCCATATGTAAATTGAAAATTAAAGTTAGATTTCAACAAGTTTTCTCTTTTAGTTATTTTTTAATCGTTTATACAAAGAGCTTTCTTGTTTCTTAGCAGACTGAATACTTTCATTGCAGTGAATTCAGTGATTTAAAAGAACTGATGCTTTGCGTACACTCTCCCCAAACTTAAAGGCTGTAAATGCTTATCTTAGTCCTAAGCGATAGGTCTATGTACTTCATGTATTGTTGTTTTTGACAGCTGTGTTAAACATAGGCCTGACACTTTCCCAAGCGACACTTGAGCTTTCTTAACAAAATGAACCCGAAAGTTTTTGTTTGTATAATCTATCCTTAAATTCACCTTTCCTTACTATATTACTGCTGACATGGTGATAGACATCTATCCAAATCGTCATTTCTCAGACATTTCCTGAACTTCCATTTTGCACTCAATGCTGAAACCAGACAAGGCACAATATTTCCTGCCCTGTGTTCTACTGATGAAGCAGAGGAAGAGAAACAATCATTTTGAAGTGTGGTTTTCACTCCTTACCAGTCGAAGGGTGAATTGATGCAGTCATATTTGAGGTGATGTGACACACAGCTAGGGAAAATGAAGACCTAGATTTTAGGATGGTATTTCAAAGTGTCCTTTTAGTTCCATGAACCATGTTACTAAAGTTCTTGGCTAGAAGATGCAAATGGCAAGGTTAGCTCTTATCTTTGAATTTGTCCTTTCAAGAGAATAGACCTTTCCTACCCCCTCATCTTTTTTCATCTTACTACAGAATGGTCTTGATACAGAGCTTCCTTTGACCAAGCAGATAAGTGAAACACCTCAAGCATGGTAGAACAACCTCAGTGAGGCACAGGACCATTGTTGGTCTCTAGCAATGAAGCTATGAAGTCTTGATGCAGCTCTTCAATCCATTAACTCTAGGCTGTGAAATCAAAGCAAAATTCTGTACTTCAACAGAACCAGTAATTTAAAAGCCAAATTAGATGTCAGCTTGACAATGTATATAAAAATGTTTCAAAGTTTACATCAATTTATCCTCAAATATTCAAGGAGTCTACGAAATCATATATACAGTACTACCATTTGTGTTCTATATAACCTTAGTTCCTGAACCTTGCTTAGCATTTTTGCAAAGAGCCTCATTTAATTAGCCTGTATAGCACATCTCTTGGTGAAAGGTCTCATACATACTATATATACATAAGGCATACAGAACCATCAACCTAGCTCCAACCACACAGCCACAACATTTGAAAGTGACAAAATGCATTATGACAACATTCCAAAGTTCCAGTGTTACTCTTTGTGGTTTTTCAAGAAGCATTCAAAGTGCGTGAGACTGTAAACAAGAGGCAATACATATTGAAGGAGCGTCTCTGACTTGCTGGAGGTTCTGTTATTATGACAGCATCCATATAGCTTTAATCCGGTGTGGCATCCACAGGTCCCAGTGATTCCAGCTTATCCAATGTGCTTTGCATATTACCACAATCTCCAGAGTTTATTTCCTCTTGGTGAAACAATGTTCTTTTATCAATGGTATTCTTCTGGCAAATTTGCTAGATAAAGAAAAGTAACTCGTTCCATAGCTACGGTTTAATCAATGCTAGATAACCAAAGTCAAACCAGACTTGGAAAGAGGATTACTTGTAAAGCTCAGCCTGTTACCATCAGGAGATCTTCTGAGTCTAGTTTCAAAGATCCATCATAATTGGGTCTGTGGACTGATTGTGTTTCCTTTTAGAAGGAGGGATTTAGAGGGTCATTGGATCCTAACCTAAGTGGCTGGCCATATGTCCCAGTCACTTTTATGTGATATTGTTATAAATCAAGGGATACAGGAAAGAAGCTATTAATAGCCTGGGAAAGACTACATGATTGGGCTTCCATCCATTTATCTATAGGGAAGGGATCATCTGTGCTATGTGAAGACTTTCCAATGTGGCTGTTTTGGGGTTACCAGTATTCGGTCAATAAACCCTCACTAGGTTGGATAAGCTCATTTGTTGCCAGAAAAGATTTTGGTGGAATTGTATGTTGGTTAATCATTGTAACTTTGGGAGGGGTTGACTGACGTTGGTCTTAACCCTTGTAATTGAATTACATCTCCAGAGAGTATGGCTTATCTTCTTTTGACTGAGTATCTAATGAGTTGTTTCCAATGGATGCTACTTCCTATCCTCCAAACCACTTCACACCTTGGATGAAAGTGGGATGCTGACTCATCAGAACCTCCTGAGCCCTCCTCATTTACTTGAAATTTAGTATACAAAGACAATAGGGCACCTATGGAGAATTAAAAACATACACTTGCCTTCTACCATATTTCCATCCCAGGTAGTGTTTTTAAGTATTGTCAGTCTCTGTTTTTCAGCTTGGGAAAACTTGTTCCCAACAGTTCATGGACCTATATTTTATCCCCAATTCACGAGCCAGATTTTGTCTTATTTCTATCTTAATATTTTTCAGACAGCCTTACCTTCTGCCAAACTTGGGTGCTCCTTGTTTGTTTGATCATAACTTTAAAATATAAGGGCCTGCTCTTTTTGGAAGAGGAAACAGAAGGGGGCATGGATCTGGGAAAGAGGATAGGTTGGGAGGAGTTGGGAGGAGTAGAGAGAGAGGGAACTGTGGATAGGCGTATTTTATGAAGAATCTACACTCAATAAAATAAAATGTATGATATCCCTATGTAAATTTGACTTGTATTTTCTCTGCACCTGCACCTGACAGGCAATAATTGTTGGTGAAAAGAGTCTCACAGTAGATTAAGTCCATAGTAAATATACAACATTCAAGGTTAAATTAGCCCCATGGTAGTATTCAAAACCTTGCTACATGTACAAATTCATTTAATTCTTTGCAAGTACAAAGCTATATTCTTTTCGATGCAGGTATTCCCCTTCATCCCCAACACACCCTTGGTTTTTGCATTAAAAGCAATATGGAGGGTGGAGGAGACGGCTCAGCAAAGTGCCTGATGTGCAAACATGTAGATCTGAGTCTGGATCTCCAGCACACATGTCAAAGCTGGACATAGTCACGCAAGTAAATGAGACAGAGAGCAGAGATAGGCAGATCCCCAAAGCTCAATGTACAGCCATTCCAGACTAACTGTTAAGCTCTGGATTCAGGGAGAGACTTTGTCTCAAAGGACAAGGTGGAAAGCAATAATGCAAGACACCACCCATCAATCTCTGGCCAATACATACATGTGGATAGCACACATGTCCATATACTTACATGAACACATTCACTACATACATTAAAAAGTATAAGTATCAAATGGATACTTCCTACATTTTTCCAATTTGCAATAAGAACCTTCATTTATTGTTTCCCCAGTCTTTCTAGTTATAAGAAGATATATTTTCACCTTTTAGTGTAAAACCCCCAATATGTGCTCACATTTGTCGGCATAGCTTGGACTATTACAATAGCTTGTTTTTTTTCATTCTTTCTCAGTGATGCTGGTGGTAGAAGATTGATAGCTTCTTAATATGTCTCTTTGAATTTACTCTGTGCCTCACATCATCTCTTTCCTCATTGTAAGCAAAGTGTACATAGCTGGTTTGAAAATCTGAATCTAGTTATGTAACTGCCAACCTAAGACTTATCCATAGTTCTTTTCTTATTTTAGAATTCAAGAATGAGATTGAGAATTCTTGGTTTGGTACTCAAGGCTCTAAACATTAGAGCATCTGGCTTGTTCTTCATCTACTTCTTAGAAACCAGTGTACTTATGTTCTACACGCACACTATAAGGACTATACATGGTGTTTTGTTTCCCCAAAAGTTCTTTGGCAAGTCATCAGACTTCCAATGTAAGACAAAGTTGCCAATGAATTATTATATCTTTGATACTTCCACAGTATCATTCACCAAAGAATTTTTTCTCAGTAAGGTTTTTTTTTTTCAGTTGTAGAAATGCCTGATTTATCAAAGAAAGATATGGAAAGGAAAGCACACATTTCCTACAGCAGGGCTGAACTCTTTTTGTGGAGATTATCTTAAAATACACAGACCATCAATACATTTTAAAACTACATATGGACTTGGTCATCCAATTTTCTCTGCTTCAATAAACATGAATCACCTGAAGATTATGAATACTCAAAACATGAGAGCAATTCATCTTCATTCTCCTCTTTAAGTTATGATGCTTTAATTTCTCAGGCCACCATTCTGCAGGCCACTTAAAATTCCTTCCATTTACCCCTACCACAATTTCACCAGCATGTATCACATGCTAAAGAGTTTTTAATCTTTTATTTAATCTCCTTTAAATACTTTTGTATTCCATCTGTATCATGGCATATTTCCTGCAATGCCCTTGCTGTTAGTCTTTAGAGTCTCTTGCCTGAGGAACTACTATAACTTCCAGATACGTTTTCCAGCTTAAGATACATCAAGTTCAGACCATTCTCCCTACTGCAATCTAGTTGAAAAGTTCAACAATGTACAAACTCTCCTAATGACTTGCCACTGTTTTACTGAATGATTTATAATGATAACTCTGAACTGAACGTTCTTCTCTAAGCATCTCACTGCAGCAACTTTCTTAATCTACAGCACAGCTTTGTGGGATGAATACTGATCTAAACCTATTGGACAAAAAAATAACTTGAAGTACAAATATGCTACATTAATGTGTTAGAGTCCCATTAGTTAGCAAGTGTTGGAACTGAGATGCAATGTCACCTGGTTCTTTTGAGACATTGTGCCTTTAATCTCTATGCTGCTATTGTTTCTCATGAAATAATATACAGGGTACATGTATATGTACATAACAATGATGAGTAAAGAAGAGAAGGCTTTGAATTTGAGATGGAATGGGTGACATAGGAGGAGTTTGAAAGAGAGTGAGGAGTATAAATAAAACAAATTAAGTACCTGTGTGTGCAATTCAAAAAAAAGTCCACAATTTTAAAAAGGAATTTTAAAAACCTTCGGTAAGACAATCAATGCTTCTTACTCCTTTCTTTCATACTAACAAGTTCAGTTTTATCTCCTGTATTGAGGTTTTGAAAAATAGGACCTTGTTTTGTCCCTAAGCCTTTGTCCAAGCAGTGTCATTAAGATCAATTATGGTTTGCCAAATTTAGTTGTTAATAGATTACTAATGAATTTAGCCAAGGCAGTAGTCTTGTGTATAATTTTTGGGTCGGTGGTAATAATGATGTTATAAACAGACCTGTGTAATCTCCATTTCAATGTCATAATATGGAAACAATAGTCCCTTGGGATTGGAATTTCCCCGGAAATCTCATGTTTGAAAGGGGAAAAGACTGAATCCTGGTGCCAGTCAAAGAAGGAACTAATCTCCCAGAAAGATACTTTACATACTTCTGATAATCTAAGCATATCACCACAGTGATTTTCTTAATCTACAGCACAGAACTATGGGATACATGGTGATCTAATCACATTTGACTAAGAGTAACGTCTTTAAGGTCTGTGCTGCTATTGCCTGTCATAAACTAATATAAAAATGTACATATATATTCACATAACAATGATTAAAGAAGAGGCTTTGAATTTGAGAGAGAGTGGGGGTCATAGGAGGAGTTCAGATCATCCTGCAGGAGACACTAAAACCCAGATAAGGATGGATCAATAATTGGTAAGAGCACACCTTGATCAGGACTGCTTAGTTATACATACCTTTTGCCTCTATTTAAAACTAAACCTACTATCAGAACCCTAATGGCAGCCATGAAGTGAGGAGGAGGTCAGAACTTTTTGTTCCTTTTACAAATGTAGTCACCATTGAAGAAACATTTTTCTGTTTCTTATTACTTGTCTCTTTAATTGTTCTATTGAGGATAGGTGGCCAAGCCAAGCTTGTAGAGCTGCCAGGGACCAGGCTCTTATCCTAACTCTGGTAAGACTTGCTCGTCCAGATTGAAGTACGGTCATCTCCTCTTTACTTTGTGCTGATCCATAGAGAAGTGGAATTCTACAATATTTTTAAAGGCACTCTTCATTAGTAAAGTGCACAACCTTCTCAAATGCTAAGAATGGGGGCTTGGAGAGATGGCTCAGCAGTTGAGGGTACTGACTGCTCTTACAACAAACCCAGGTTTGATTTCCAGTACTTACATGGTGTCTAATAATCTGTAACTCCAGTTTTGAGGATCCAACTCCCTCTTCTGTCACTCATGGGCAAGGCTTGCAGCCAAAACACCCGTACATGTGAAACAAAACTTAAAGACATCTAAAATAAACCTAAGAATGTGGACAAAGATAAGAGGGTTTTTTTTAATTGTTTGTTGAATTCCCATTCTATCTTGTTTCAAGAAGATAATTGGGGTCATCATTCCAGACCTAACAGGACACACTATCTTCCATTTCCAGAACTCAAATAAATTGGCAATGACAAAACCAAAGCTTCATAAGAAAAATATAAGCTTGAATGTAAGAGTCTTAAGAGAAAAGGAAAAAACTATTTAGAATGCTAAGTGGGAATGAAGTGGCATGTGCTTAGTTCAAAATTATTCAGAGATCCAGTAAGAGGCAGGAAAGGAAACAGGAAAAACAAGGAACCACTCACTATTTGATGACAATGGGCTAGTAGGACATGCAAAATCAGATGCCTTTCCTTGAGTGTACTGGACCTTAGACGCAAGTAAAACAGTCCCAGTAATGATCCAATCTCCTAAACATAAAATAAGATTGATAACAGAAAATATAAAACAAACAATTCCAACATGAAACAAAGTAACAACGTGGTAGATTACAGAGTATATCAAGAAAATAATGAGAGATTAGTGATCAATAATCAAAGGGGACTTACCAGAATTTGAGGGTCATCTAAGGTTTCAAATATTTGTATAACACAGCAATCAGCCTAACTATTAACTAAAATTGTGTATTTTCCTTTCTTGGAAGGATGTTAACTATAAGATAGCTTGGTAAACATTTTAAAGTGGCAGTTTCTTATACACCCACATTTGTTTGTGTTCCAGACTCACACAATGGCTAATTATAAAATGATATGGTAAATTCCAGGAAAGTAGTAAGCACTTAGAAGCCAAGAGGACAGGTAAGTACTCAATTTGATCTTGGGAATTGTGGTCCAGTGTGAGGCATTAAAGAAACTGGGATGCAAATCTGTCTCACAAATGATAAGGAAGTCTTGGCCAACAAGATGAGGATGAATTGGGAGAAAATGGTGCGTCCTCTGTGGGAAATGACTATGCAAATTAAAGAATAGATAATACTTACCACATTCAGGGGTCTACCGTGATTTGTTTGGCTATGGTGTAAGATGTACATAAGTATGCCTTTTGGGCCATGTTCTCAGACTTGGATTTAATCCTGAGGATTAGAAGTGGATACTGAACTGAGCTTAAACCTGAAGGTCTAAAACGGATGAAAGTTTAAATCTGAATAGATGAAAGGGCTATTTTTTTCCTTTAAGACAGGACAAAAAGCACATGTGAAGAGGAAAATGAATGGCTCTATAAAATAAAAGTAGATGCGTGAGTTTAAAAAAAAAGCTGCAGCCACATCTGTTTAGTTTCTATGTGAAATAGGTGGCAAGATTGCCTCAAGAGAAACAATGTGTATTGGCTGAACAGGAGTCTTAAAAATAGAGAAATCAGCTGGGGATGGGGCTCCATGGTATAGCACTTATCTACCTAGTGTGAGACATGGAGACAGGGGGAGTGAGAAGGAGAGAGAGTGGGAGGGAAAGAGATTGTAAGAGAAAAAGTGAGGGGAAGGAGGGGAGAAGAAATAGAGCAAGGAGGGAGGGACAAAAGCAGGGAGGAGGGAATGAGGGAAAGAAGGAGGGAATTTTCCATGGCCACCCAAGAGGATGCAAAGGAGCTGGAGACAACCCAGAAGGATCATAGATGGCTGTGTTCTGATTAGTAAGAATTCATTCTTCAGATCTTAGCTGAGGTTTCACCTGCAGAAGCTACAGTGGGACTACTCGGTTTCGTGCTTTTGAAGTACTGAAGACTATCTTTCCTGTGGAGACTCACCTTAATGATTACATTATATTAATTCATATGATCTTCTGTTTAATATCTACTCCATACCTGTTCAGTCACCACTGTATAAATTAACCTTCAGTTTCTCATCTCTAAAATATAAAGAATACTAGTCCTCTCTGTTGCTACTTGGGTATTTAACTAAGTGACTGCATATATGTGTTACTCAAGAGGAAACTGAATCTCTGAGAGCTCAGTCTCCATGTACAAGTTCAAGAGTAAGTACAATGAGAATTCAATCCAGGCCTATATCAACATAATCTGAAACTCCTCTTCCCTTCCACACTGCTTCCTTAGGCAGTAGGCAATTAAAGAGTTCATACATGAACTCTCCTAGGGTTATATGCATTTTTACGTTCTTGTCTTAACTTCCCTGCTTATAAGGAAATGAACATGAATAAATAATTTACATCCAAATGAATAAAATATTTTGGAAGGCTACAATTACAATCCAATGAAGATAATATTCACAGCATGCACATGTCCTCTGTCTCCTAATAGTGTATAGCTATCTACATTCTGACTCTATGTGACACTGTATATTATCCACCTCTTCAGCATAGGTTTTAGTGTCACTAACAAAATAGAATAAGGGAAAGAGACATATAAATCTGAGCAAGGTCCTTCAACTTTCTACATCTGTAGTTTCTTACACAGATAGGAAAAATAGCATTTGTTACCATACAGCTTATGAAATGATTAATGGACTAATGTATACAAAACCAATCTTTGAACACTTAATATAATAACTCAATTTCTTTTCCTTCTGCTTCTTCTATATCCAGGGGCCACTTTCTGTAAATTCCTTGAAAAATACCCCAGAAGCCCCCTATTCCACTTCAACTCTTACCAAGTTGTAGCAAAAATAACAAGATATCCTGAGAGGAGGTTTCATTCACAGGTAGAATATTGGCATTATAAGGATTTCTGCCTCTTCTTTGATTTCTCCTGCTGTTTAAGTAATCATATGTAACAATTAGATGACCTTTCATAATGCCAGGTAGAGACAGGTTGAATATTTAGCTTACTTTACAAATGAAGAAATTAAGATAAGGACAACTACTAAATAGACATATACAAGAATGAACTAAACAAAAGCCTGCATTCTTGGTTATTAGTTTAGTACTATCCTTAATAAAAACCCCAGCAATATCAATACTGATACCTTAATAATATTCTTGAGTCTTAAAACTCACTATGATATTCTATGATATCAGTATAGTATATACATGTATAAAATATAATGAAACCCACTGTTTTGTCCACTTAATAAATGTTAACAAAATGGAAAGGAAATAGCAGATTAAGCCCTTGATCTTGATGTCTTAGTTTTATGTGCCCTCTTGCTTACAAAGCACAAAACTAACATGGAAAAGAAACTAGTTGAAAACAACTGCAGTGTATAACATGACTGGCATATTTCAGTTTTAACTATTAGTGTTTGTTCTTTCAGGAAAAATATTAGATGCTAGTACATTTTATAACCAAGGTAGTGAAACCTGAACTTTTCTTTTCAAAACTGTATTATACATGTAGTTAGAATATATGAATAAATGAAGCCACACATACAGAGGATATACATGATCTCTGAAATGAATCAAAACATCAAAAATAAATCAAATCATTTCTCATAGACAGGATCTATGGTTGTCTCTTAAGAAAGAAACATTGCCGCAAAATGAAACCTTCTCCTTTATAGTAAATAATCACATAGAAAATTGTCTCAGAGAACTCTGAAAAGCAAATATTTTCAAAGAACCACTGTTGCTCAAAAGAGGTTAGGTTTTATAGAAAATACAGGCTAATAAAAATTGAGCAATGGTATTATTCATGACATACTAATACTAATTCAAACATGTAGCATTTCCCCAAATATTTCCATTAAATCAAATCTTAGCCACACACACAAAAGATTCATGTGCTTTTAAGCAAAGACAATTAAAACAAAATAAGCAATTACTCAAAACAAGTTACTTCTCATTACCAAATTTTATACCCAAGTGAAACTTACTTGATGTGAATAATGTGTCCAGATGTAATCAAATTCTTCTGAAATACCACTGAAGTCTGCCTCAAGGAACAGCTTCTAAGCTTAATGGGTTTTAAATGACCTTAGAACTAAAGCTTGTATTTAAGTAGGAGGAGTCTTAGCTTTAGCCACAAAAAAAGTACCAACTATCATGAGAAAATTTGCATTCAAAGCAAATGAGCCCTCAAAGTTATATTTGCTTAAAAATTCTCAGAGGAAATTATATCTGAATGACTTTCTCATTTGATTACTTCCTGATATAGCCTCTTGGCATGCCAGTGATATTCTACTATGTGACTCACCACAGCACAAATCAAAAGATAATCTAAAGGTAAGTATATGATTAATGGGTTTATATTTCCTCAGCATATATGATGCAAAGGCATCATTGTTTTGAATGTTAAATACCTTTATGTAGAAAAGAGCAATTACAAAACCTGAGTTCTATTCTGGAACCTTGCTTTATAGTCAGCTCTGGAATTTTGGGCAGTTTCCTTAGCCCTCTTGAGACTGGAGAAATATGTCAGGGACTGATGATGTAGCTCGGTGGTACAATGTATGCTCAACGTGTGCAAAGTAGTAGGCTCATTTCCAAGCACCAAGAAAAAAGAATGAAGAAAATATTATTGAATGGTCCTCAGATGTCATCTATTTTATGGTTGCCCAGAGCAGATAGAGACATTTTCTTTAGTGTTGCAATCACTGACAAGGTGTCCATACTTCAGAAAACAACCACTCATCCATGGGCCTACAAGCAGCCATAACTAAATTCAATAGAGAGGCGGGGAGGAGGGAAGAAGGAAAGAAGAAAAGGAGGGAGGGAGGAAGGAAGATACAAAGAAAGAAGAAAAAGAACAGATATGATCATGGAAGGGGGACTGGTTAGGAAGAGGAAGGGATGTAAAATGGGAAGACAAGAAAGGGCCACAGGAATAAGTATGTTCAAAATACATGCATGTATGAAATTGTCATAATGAAGCATATGGTTGTGTATAATTAATAAATAATAGCAAATATATTTTACTGTTAAGACATTTACTTCTATTCACACAAAAATTGCCTCTTCACTTTGCCTAAAAAATGGTCCTTTTTGAGCTGGGGTGGAGCTCCCATACATGTATATGAAAGAGCCTGGCCTTGCAATCAAACACCAAACAAACTTTAAATTGATGGGAAATAAAGAGAGAATGTCCAAAATCCCTCTGCTTTCTAAAAGTACTGATATGCTTGATGTGTTTGATACTATCAATAAAGTTTATTAAGTATCATGCATTTTTTCACTAAAAATTTATCAAAAAATATTCTTTTACACAACTAGGTGAGTATTTGAGGCCTCCCAGGGTTACGTGGTAAGACCCTATCTCAAAAAAAACATATTACAGAAAATTATTACCTGTGTAAATGAACACAAATACAAAGACATTTTATTAAATGTCAGTCGTGTTGTAGACTTCAGAGTGCTGAGATTACAAGTGTGTGCCACCAAAGAATAAGCAAGGCGTTAAAGAGTAAGCTTGTTTGTTGACTGTCTGTGCTTATTGTCTTGCTTTTTCTTTGATTATTTGTGTTAATTGTCTTGCTTGTTCCTTGACTATTTGCATCTATTGTATTGCTAGACCCTCAATCTAGAACTGATCTTAATGCATGCATGTAATCAAAATGGTATAAAAGCATGAAGGAGGAGGAGGGATGGGATGGGGGTTCTAGGGAGGGGAAATTGGGAAAGGGGATAACATCTGTATTGTAAATAAATAATAAATATCCAATAAAATAGGAATAAATAAATAAATAATAAATAGTAAATAAATATCCAATAAAAAGGAAATAAAAAAACAACTGTGTGCCATCACATTCATCATAATGTTTCTCCAGGTTTGAAGTTAGGAAAGTCCAACTTAGAGAGTGTAACATCGCTGATCTGGCTGTTTTGCAATCATTTTTGTCTGAAATTACTTATCAGAACTCTGTGTGAGAGTTTAGTGTCAGAATTTGCTGACAAGAAAAATAAAGAAAATCTAGTTCAACCTTTCCTTTCCTCTTCCTGAGATTGCAGTTTCAATTAACTCCAGGAAGTTTCCCTCAAGTCTCCTGCTTCCTGCAAATCTTTTGGCAGTTAGAGATAGACCCAGCTTTGTGGTATTTAATATCTTGCAATAATACAGTGTCTGTCATAATAGATATATAAAGCATTAATTGAATTTCACTAATGAACTTCTGTTTTAAATAATAATACATAATGCTTCTATTGTTGAAGTCTACTAGATAGTCACTTTTATCCTGATGGACAGCTCCGTTAGTGAAAGCAGAGGCTAAGCCTTGCTGCTTAGTGTGAGGAAAAGTTCTATCTCAACCTTTTCTGGTGACAGGGATGCACATAGGATTAAACCACAGTGCATATGGCTGCTTGAGATAAAAAGTAGAAAAACGACTGAAGAATAATTAATGAGAGATCCTGGTTTACTTGCTTTGTTTTGCTTTAAGGTAGAGTGAAGAGAACAAAGATAATGTCAATCTCTGGCCTCTGCACATGCATGTATAGCAATGCTGCAGCATAAACACATGTGTCATACATGCAAACACACATAATTTTAATTAGGCTAATTAACAACCATCTTCAATAAGCTTGACACCTATTTTTGTGCTCTTTGTCTAATTACTGAACTGCTGAGGACTTTATATAAAATGGTTGAGTGGCAGGAATTATGATTTCTATTTCTTTGTGTAGTATTCTATAATTTCAATTACTCTGTTGACCACCAAATCAGGAAATGGTTAGTTTAAACCACTATTCAAATGGAAGGATCCCTGAAGATATCAAAGTCCACAGAAGGCCCAGACCTTACATAAAATGGATGAAATTCTTGCACAGACTTTATATACATCATCTGAAATTCCTTTCAGTCATTTCTAGATTAGTTGTATTACCTATATATAGCAATATATAGTATGTTCTATATATTATATATAGTAATGAAAAGTAAATTCTACATATGTAGCTGCTATAATATACCATTTAAGGATTAATCATAAGAAAAATATTTGTATATGTTTAGTACATATTCAATGTCTATGTTTGATTCAATCCAAAGATGGAGCCTATAGAAAACAAGGCTTCACTACATCTAATGATTCAAAGACTTATTTTGTTTTAAAGATTAAGAGGTGTTAAATAGACAGAAAAAGAGAGAGAGAAGAAAAATAGACAAAATGGGATTACATATACGCACAAAGTTTCCAACAGAATTCAAAAATTAATAACAATGCCTACACATTCATTTGAACATATTAGATAGAGTATATATAAAGGCTGCTTACCTTCTCCCCAAATCTAGTTTTATTGTGCTGTAATAAATCTGTGATCTCCTCTATTACCAAGATGCAGTAACAAGAGTCCAGAGCTGACATTATCAGGAAAACCCAGAATATACAGTTGGCAACAAAAAGGTCCTCAGGTAGTTTTCAGAAGCAAGAATGAGCACCAACAGGTGTGAATGCAAACAGCAGAGGTCAGCAGTGCCAACCTGATTCCGCTCACTCCTACACACTGCTCAGCTACAGGGCATCCAAGTTCTAAGTACCAGACAGATGAGTTCAATGCTATGGCATGTTGTTTAAAGTCAAGTTGGGGGAATGGTAAGTAGAAACTGTTGAATGTTTACTCCACAATGTGAGAATGTTAGGTAGTTAGTTAGATATTACCAGGACTAGCAGCCACTGGGCTGGACTCCTCTCAGAACGAACAGCCTGTAAAACCAGGAACTAGCACTTCAGAGCTCTAATCACAGATTGGAGGAATGGAAGTCAACAATCTCTCTGTTCCAGAGAGACTCTGAAGGTCATTAATAGATTGCTATCTAAACTTAATTCCCAGAGCTCAAAATCCTATAAGATTGTTATCTAGCTGGAGTCCCGATAAAGAAAAAAATAATATTATTCCCTTTTCTTGTAACTGACAAAGCAAATGTGTCTGTTGGTCATTCAGAAAAGAAAATGTCCCTTAGGAAAGGTTTATTGTTCTAGAAGCTTTAGAACTATTTTTAAAAAGGCTTCCCAAAATGGTGATAGAGAGAAGGCTCAGAAATTAAGAACACTGGCCACTCTGGAAGACTCAGCTTTGATTGAGCACCCACAGGGCAGCAATCAATTGTCTGCAACTTCAGTCTCAGGAATCTGATGTCCTCTCCTATCTCAGTCATCAGACACATAAATAGCATACAGACTTAAAAATGTATATGCAGACAAAATGCCTATTCACAAAAAATACATAATAGGGTTTTTTTTAAGTTTATCTAAAATTGTAGAGCCAGAAAATAGTCTATGACCATGGGCTACTCCCACTGCTTCAGAGTGTGCTTTCCTCAACTCTACCTGTCTTTGACACTAGGTTCTGTCTGTCTCTTATGAAAAGAGGTCAAGAGGTCAAAACAAGATAGATCCCCATGACAAGACCAATAAACTGTAACAGAGAAGACCATTGGTATCTAAAAGAATTTGGAAGAGAAAACAAGTAACTCTACCTGTGTCATGAAAAGGATGGGAATCTTTAGGCACAGATGCTTTGGAGGATGATCCCCGGTAGTCTTAATAGCAAATGCAAGACACTGAAAATACATTGAGATTTTAGGTCTGTGCCCTGCCAAAATCCCTTGGAAAGAGAGAAAAAAAATGAGCTTTGCTAACTTTGTCAATGTTCTGAGTGGTTTAGAAAGCAAATAAGTCTAAAGCTGTCTTTTAAACTGTGACAAAAATCAGGCATGGGTAGTACATGCTTTTACTACCAGGATTTGGAAAGCTGTTGGATCTCTGTGAGTTCAAGTACAGCCTTGTCTACTTAGTGAGTTCAGTGCCAACCAGAGCTACATAGTCCTACCTCAAAAAAATAAAACAAAACGTTGATGGCAGAGATTATATCCCAGGTTGTGTATCTCCTTTCAGCCATATAAACTGTGTTAGAATTGAATACACATCTTCCCAACTGAAGGCTGCATTTTCCAATTCCTTCTCATCTGGGTGTGAATATGTGGTTGTAATTTAGACAATAATACACAAAAAGCAAAGCGTGCAATCTTTTGATCAATCTTTAACAACAACAACAAAAAACATATATCCTCTTCCCACTTTTTCA